CAACATCAATGTTTTCAGAGTGCCTCTATGCTATTTTTCTTTCAAAGGGTCCAATTCAGTAATGACAATGCTACATGAAAGGTCTAAAAGATTTAGGCAGGAATAAAGAAGTTCATTTAACAGTCTTGCTGCTGTTAAAGAAAAGAAGGAACATATTTTAAAGCCAACCAAGCACATCTACACAGGACAAATTTGGTGTAGACTAAGCAATCTGCTATACAAAACATAATTCCCATCTGACATACAAAACACAGAATTCCCATATGAAGTTCAAGGATATATCCTTACATTGGTACTTAGATTTGGTCAGAGTCAACATGGAAGTATACTTTTAATCTGCTACTATTCTTTTAATTCAGTCACAGAAATGTGTTTGAATGGATTAATGAAAGTTAAAAAAAAAATACCCTTTGGTTAACTGGAACACTAATATGTGGTCTAACTTCTTAGATAGTCCATATGACTTCAAAAATAATTCCATCTTTGGGAATAAATGATAAATAAATAAAAATCCCTACCTTCAACTTACCCATTCTAAAACAGGGAGTGGCAAACTTTTCCTATAAAAAGCCAAAAAGTAAATATTTCAGGCTTTATAGGCTATACTGTCTCTGTCGCACTCAACTCTGCAACTATAGCATGAATGCAGCCATAGACAATTCACCACTGGCCATGTGCAGCCATGTTCCAATAAAAACAATTGTTGGGCAGGATTTGGCCCTCAGACCATAGTTCAAAAAGATCACCTACTCTAAAGCATCAAAATTCCATACTTGAGAGGATGCCAGTATTTTAAATTTTTGAAAATCTAAATGAAAGGCAGATTTCAATGATGATCTAAAATTTTACCATAAAGAGTTATGATCAAAATCACTATCTTATGGTCCAAGACAAAAATACATAACATTTTGTCAAGCTGATACATTTATATAAATGATAGACCCAGGGTTTTTAAAAGGACTATCTCTAGCTGTATGTAATTGCCATGATATGAATAGTGTATCTAGAAAGGAACAATGCTTCGGCAGGCTTTCCAATATTCATTGCTAAATGAGTGTTTTTGGCAATGCGGCAAGTATTCGGCAACATATCCATCTATTTCTGAGTTGAGATAAACTTTAACCTAGGAAAGGTCCCTGTTTATTGTTGACACCATGAGTGAATTCTTAGGAAATAAGCCACTCAGTCCTGTACACTATAACAGAGCAGAAGAGATAAAACAAAAAGACAACTTCTAAAATAATTTCGGCATAAATTTTACCAAGAGGTATTTTGTATCTCTGTGAACATCTATAGCTATGATGTTTCGAGGCACTCAAGGTTTCGAAGCCTTCCATACTTATACTTTTGGTCCTAAACTCATTGATTAAGTTCTATACAGATAACATAGTAACTCAATTCCATGGCAAAGTGAGCTTCCTTAGACTAATAGTTGAAATAATTGTTATCCACATAGGAAGCCAAACTGTGCAATTTTAGGTTGAGGCATTTCCAGACCAATAATGAAAGTCAGAGAAGTTCATAAAAATCTAAATAATGGTACACACAAACCACACACATCAAAAGATTGGCTTATAAGAAAAGCCTGTTTCCACTCATACAAACATATACTCAAAACCTAGACATTCATTCCTCACTCCTATTAATATAAAGCATGAGAAACCAATTTCTTTTTTCATCCAAAAAAAAAAAAATGCTCCTTACCTGCACTGTTTCTCTACTTTTAACACACCTACTATATCCTGTCTCCAAAGTAAACTTCTAGTTCTCAGAGCAATTGAACAGAAGTAAATCTCTGCAATTTGATACTTCAACTATTGAAAATTATCAGCTGAAATATCCATTTAAGTTAGTAATTAACCATTAAGAAAACATAATTCTAAAGGTACAACTGTGTAAACTATCTGACACAATTCAAGTATAGCAATATTTATTTAAAACTCTGGGTTTCATCACACTTCTAATATCTCTAGGAATAAAGAAAACTATTTTTGGTACAAGAAAAAAAATTTCTATTAGGGTGTATTTTGCTTTAAAAAATTCTGTTAAAATCAGCTGACCCACAGGTTGTCTAGAATTATCAAACATATGAGAATTTTTTCAAGTAAAAAGATAAATTTTTCTGTGGTGTGATTTCAATATATGCTAAATATTATAGATCACTGATATGTATGATTGCAGGCAGACACAATAAAGATTATACACACCAGACTTTAAATAATTTCAAACCACTAAAATGACTCATTTTACTAATCTTAAAAGATGCTCAACTTCTTGAACCAGATGTGTTAATTCTAGATGTCTTATTTCTGTCTTTACTCAATTCTGATAATTTACTCAATTCTGATTTATCTGTGTTAATAAAAATCATGATAATCATTTTTGTTGTTGTTCAGTCACTAAGTTATGTCTGACTCTTTGCGACCCCATGGATTGCAGCACATCAGGCTTCCCTGTCTTTCACTGTCTTCTGGAGTTTGCTCAAATTCAGACCCACGGAGTCGGTGATGCTGTCTAGCCATCTCATCCTCTGCCACCGCCTTCTCTTTTTGCCTTCAATTTTTCAGTGTGAAAAAGACAAAAGAACAGTCATACAAACCTCAAGTAATTACCTTACAAGTACCAGAACCATGATTCTGTGATGTTGCAAAAAGTTAACAAATCAGGAACTGCATTTATTGCCTCACTATTATTTCATATATTCACGAAAAATTCATGTGTCTGTATGCCAAACATTATACTACATTTTGTAGTTACATCTGTAAGCAAAGCACACACAGAGCTTTGCCATCACAGATTTTATAATCTAGTAAGGAAAAGAGACAAACCATTACCTCAGTAATTCTAAAAAAGGAATGAGCTCTGACAGCTATGAATGATTCTATTCAGTATAATAATCATATTGCTATCAGTTAATACAGTAATTGTATTAACTCATAGTAATATATTGGCCTTAAAGAAAAAAAAAAAAAGTAATATATTGGTCAGAAGCATACATCACCACTCTCTTTCCAGCAGTTAGAAACAGTCCTTTAACACATAAGCATCATATATAGTACGGACAAATGAGATTTAAACAGTCATGTCTGACAGTTTAATAAGGAACAAACAAAAATTTTTAAATCTTTATAGCATTATAGCAGTGCACAACTTTTAAAATTCTTGTGCCCAAAGTTTTTTCTCATTAGTAAAAAAATTTCCTCCTAAAGATTAATAAATGTTCATCAGCTGTCAAGGTGTAAGCAGACTTAAAGTTGTCAGAGCAAGAAAGAGAAAACAGATAAGAACAAAGTCAGGTAGCTACTAGTTAGGGGTAAAGTAGGATCTAGAAATCTAGGATTTTAATCCAAAATTCAGTAACCCTTTTCATTTTACCAGCCAGCTTCAGATGCCCCCTTAAAAAGAGTGTCAGTATAACTTAACAGTGCCAACTGGTTAAGATTACCAGTATGATAGGAAAGGTACTAAAAAAATTACCAGCCTATAATTCAGTCAACCATAAATGAAACCCCCATTTATAAACTTAAAACATATTGATATTTCTATATTTACGTATCTAATGAGTCAACTCAGTAGAGAAGCTATAAAAAGAAAATCAGATACGTTTTTTTTTTTAGCACTGGAAGATGAGAACCTTTTACCTTCAACCAGCTGTTCTACTGATAACCTGTCTCTTTCTTAAGGATAGCCTGTCTCTCTTTTTTGGAAGCATGACAAAAAGAAAATCATTTAACTAATCAGATCTTGTTAGCTGATCTTGTTCTTTTTCTACAATGATAATTACAATAAACTATCTTTAGATCTTAAACACTTTATATGTAATCCAAATTAGGAAACAAAAGGCAATTACTCTCTATTGATAGATACCATCCTTACAATATTGTAAAGTAATTAGCCTCCAACTAATAAAAATAAATGGAAAAAAAAAAGATACCATCCTATTTTTTCCTATATAAAAGCCAAACTGAGACTCTAGCTCTGAAAATAATGTGTCAGGCTTCTTAAACCAACTTTATAAACAGTATCTGTAAAAAATAAAAGAATAAGGCTACAGTCTAATAATCATATGGCCATCCCTTAGTTGTCTGGTTTATCAAAATGAAAAGTGAGTTTCTACTAGAATAGAAAGATTTCTATTAAAAACTCTAGTGTTATCAATGAATTTTCCCACAATAAAATAATTGCTGAAGGCTTAATTATGCTGCTTTATTAAAAAGCATATACATAAAACTATAGAAACATAAATAGTATTAAATTGTTATAGTTTCTATCGAAGTATACACGGAGTTTATAGCCAACCTACTTCTCCAATAACAGTAGACTCATCTTTTTAAAATTTATATATATTTTATGATTGTATAGTATCACTTTGTAGATTTTCACAATTTGATATTCAAACATAGCTACACATTTTTTTTTTACATTATAATAAAAACATATGTAAAGAGACTGATGCTTATCACCAAAGAGAGGTCAATTTGTATCATGCTACCAACTCTTTGACAGCTGTGTGGCTTTGAGCAAATTACTTTGCTTCTCTGATCCTCTCCTCCTATGGCAGTGGGGTGGTTTTAATAAAAATAATGTTAAATGTCTAGCACAGTGCCTGATACATGCTTAAAAAACATTGTTAGTATAAAAGGTCTACTGTATTTTAAGTAATTTCATTAGACTAGATTCTCGGAATTAAAATTATGAAATGGAAAATGTGAATGTTTAAGGCTCTTGATAAATGCCACCAGAACTTCTTCCAAACCGGTTATACTAATTTAAACTCTCAAAAGCAATGTGTGAGCTCCTGATCAGCAATATATTAAAAGACAAACTTAGAAAATTGAGATTAATGAAAAAGCCAACTGTGTATGTGCTTGTGTGTGCTAAGTCACTCCAGTCGTATCTGACTCTGTGTGACTCCATGTTACCTAAATAGAACAAAACCTTAGTACCAGGCATGTGTGAATATACACATCACTAAGAGATGAAGTTCCGTACAGACTTACCCTACATGAGGGACTGCTATCCCTTTATGGGAGGGAGACAAGGTCTGAAGTTTGTTTCCCGAAGAGCTGCCAACTGAAGATACTTTAGCTGAGGGAGCACCTTTTAATAAAAAAGGCATTAGTTTTAACAACACTCTGAAAAAGAAAAATCACATTAACCAGAGCACCTGACAAAACAATGCTTTCGTGGCAATAAATCTTCGTGGCAAAAAATCAAAATGAATGATCAAATCCGAAATTAAGTAAAATTTTTATGGAACAACACACAGCATCCTTCATTTCTAATTTCTGTACTTCTTTCTTACAATTTACATACAAATGAAGGTACACTTCAGCAATCAAGATCTTCTTTAAAACATTAAATATTTGCCTATTAAGGATAATTATCAAGTTTAGACAGGTATAGACAGAAACAAGGGGAAAAAATACTGTGGTCAAAGAATCAAGAAAAGGACTTTGGTTGACTACTCTGAAGAGATGATATATCGGTAACTACATCAAGGACAGACATTTACACTAAAAAAGGACTATAAAACATCTAAAGTATAAGCTACTGAAAGTTACTTTATTTTTACCCAAAATAATTACTTATCTTCCACATCAACTCCTAATAAACCTAGTGTTAAATAATCCAAAACAGAATACTGTCATTTCCTTCTCTACCGATTCTGATATTAAAAAAAAAAAAAAAAATCAAGTTATTTTACAGATCTCATTACCCACAACAGTTTTGCTAGTGCCACTTGGCTGTGGTAATCGTGATGATCCTGATGAGGTGGTCCCAGGAGAATTTAACTTTTTAAGTGCAGGCGGCTTATACTAAAACAATGAAAACACAATGTTTTATCAACATCACATTTTGATTATGGATTACAAACCAGTATTTCAAAAGCACACATTCCCTTAAATGTGTCAGATGTTTTACCACCTACTCAAATTATCCAAATTTAGAAAGAGCAGGTTAAAACATATCACCTTAGAGAGAAGTTACCCAAGAAATGTTCCTTCTCCAAATTGGCATACTAAAATTCTGGCTCAGATGTTCTGCTGCTAAAATAGAGAGTAACTTTTCCCAGTTCAAAGAAAACAAAATGGATCAAATGGAAAAAATTTCCTCAATGTTAAGATTTTAAATGCCAACCATATTATTAGAAAAACTTAAAACCACCCAAAGATGCTCACTCGGTGGTGTGGTTTTAAAGGTCAAGATTTTTGTATGTTCCTTGGTATGGTTTTATATTTCGTATATATAATCCAGACACATATCTTACTGATGAAAATTCCTAAGAGCACATATAAGCCTGAACAAGTCTTAAATAGCTGTCTAACGGACTGTTGCCCCAATGTGAAAACAAAGAGCTAATTCTTCATTAACCTCACCAGAGCATGTTACATGAATGGGATATGGGCTGAGAAAAGATACGGTATTTCAGCTTATCTCATTTATTCTCATTTTTTTCTCTACAGAGAAATATCACCATCAAGTTTGTTTTACTGTCTCTTATTTAAACAAAATTCTTCTCTGTTACTGAATATAAAGCATCTTATTGATCACCCACCCCAATATAAAGAAGTAAACTTGCCCAGGGTTACACCCACTTAACAGAGCAGGAATTAAGACTCATACTGTCTCAGTCCTCGCCCTGTAAGCCAACTGTAAGGTCATTATTGTGCTTGCCTGTGTACTTGAGCCCTATTCTTAGGACTTTATGAGAGAAACTGGTTTTAAGTCCAACTTTTAAAAATCAAATTATCCTGGCTATTATAAACAGTGCTGCGATGAACATTGGGGTGCACGTGTCTCTTTCAGATCTGGTTTCCATGGGGAATACATGTAAAAAAAAAAAAAAAAAAGATACACTATGGTTGTGAAAAAAAAATAAATAAATATTTAAAAAAATAAATAAATAAATTGAAAAAAAAAATAATAAAATAAAAAAAAAAAAAAAAAAAAAAAAAAAAAAAAAAAATAAAAATCAAATTATCGAAACATATATATTATCTAGGGTGAAACAGATCACCAGCCCAGGTTGGGTGCATGAGACAAGTGCTCGGGCCCAGAGGGATCGGGTGGAGAGGGAGGTGGGAGGGGGGACCGGGATGGGGAATACATGTAAATCCATGGCTAATTCATTTCAATGTATGACAAAAACCACTGCAATGATGTAAAGTAATTAGCCTCCAACTAATAAAAATAAATGGAAAAAAATAAAAAATTAAAAAAAAAAATCAAATCATATTTATAACCTATTATCAGTATAAAATTTAAGATGCTCTGCTATTAAAAACTGCTGGCTAAGCACAAACATTAAAATCACACATTGTAACTCTTCAAAATTCAGTATTTGACCTTTTACAAAAATAAATCTTATAAACGGGTCTCACACACACACATACACACACACACATAAACAAGCACATTTGACACTATAATGCCAGAAACTTCCATTTCTTAACCACTTGGCAACTAGAAAACCTTCAATAACTGTCCGTCAAATGTAAATGACTAGGAGACTTTGGAAATGTATATGGAGCCATATAAATATACTGTTTCTTAGAAAACCTAAGAGGTATTTCTGGTAGTATCAGTCTTTCCCATGAAAATATCAATACTATTGAATATATTAGGAAAGATTTTAAAACTAACACTATGGAAAATAAGACCTAACACAGACTTGTCAAAATATTAGAGGCATGCCTACTAAAACTACAGTCAATAAAACTGGATTAAGAAACAGGTTGGTGACTCTTTCACATTTTGCTAATTATCAAAACAGAACAATATACACTGAGAGGTCAAGTTTTAGGCAGGAAGAGCCCTCGCAGCATTATAAACTGGGAATAAAGATTTCTATGTATATATTAGGAATTTCTATATTAATTTAATGGCTTATAAACAGAAAAAGGCAGAATATTTCTTTCAAAAAGTGCTTTGTTTTTCTGCTCTGTATTAGACCTCCTATTATTTTACTCAGTCTTTTGGTCAGGTTTTCTGAGATGATGAGAATCTAGCCCAACTGTATCTATCTTCTACAGTATTTCCTATTACTTTCCGTCAGAACAAGTCAGGTTAGTTTCCTTACTGACTTCTCATACCACTCTGAATGCCTCTAGTTTAAAACATACTCATATATCTCTCAGTAACTGGCTGTTCCCCTGACCTAGATAATATGACTCCTTCCTTACTGAGCTGTATTTTATCAGTTCTACACATCAAGCTGAAATTCTACTACTAGGCATTCAGGATGACTCTAACTAGCAACGATTTTGCATAAATTCATTTTTATGATCAGAAGAACAAAGTCTATTTTTACAGTTATACTCAATACATGTTTTGTTTACCATGTATTAGGGAGGTGATTATTTCATGTGTTTTTATACAGATCACAAACCTAATACATTTCCTTGGTAAAATATTCATGTTCACAAAGACTTTTCATTTCTGATAAAATGGGAGAAGGTATTTATTTATTTGAACCAAGGCAGCATTCAGCCCAAAGATGGGCACAATAAAGGATAAAAATGGTAAAGACCTAGTAGACACTGAAGAGATCAAGAAGAGATAGAAAGAATACATGGAAGAACTGTATAAAAAAGATCTTAATGAACCCGATTACTACGATGGTATGGTTAGTCACCCAGAGCCAGACATTCTGGAGTGTGAAGTCAAGTGGGCCTTAAGAACTGCTGTTAATAAAGCTAGTGGATATGATGAAATTCCAGCAGAACTATTCAAAACCGTAAAGGATGATGCCATCAAGGTGTTGCATTCATCATGTCAGCAAATCTGGAAGACCCAGCAGTGGCGACAGAACTGGAAAAGGTTAATACTCATCCCAGTTCCAAAAGAGCAGTACCAAAGAATGTGCTAACCATTGGACATTTGCACTCATCTCCCATACTAGTAAGGTCATGTTTAAAATCTTGCATGCTAGGCTTCAGCATTATATGAACTAAGAACTTCCAGATGTCCAGGCTGGGTTCAAGAAAGAAAGAGGAACTAGAGACCAAACTGCCAAGATTCACTAGATTATCAAGAAAGCAAGGGAATTTCAGAAAAACATCTATCTCTGTTCCATTGACTAAGCTAAAGCCTTTGATTGTTTGAATCATGACAAACTGTGGAAAGCTCTTACAGATGGGAATACCAAACCATCTTATCTGTCTCCTGAGAAACCTGTTTGCAGGTCAAAAAGCAACAGTTAGTATCCTGTATGGATTGGTTAAAGATCGAGAAAGTAAAACAGGGCTGTCTGCTGTTGCCCTGTTTGTTTAACCTACATCATGAGAAATGAGCACATCATGAGAAATCCTGGGCTGGATGAGCTACAAGGTAGAAACCAACTATACTTTAAGAAAAGTATTTATAAAGCTATCATAGATAAAAATATCATCATGGTCTGGAGACTATAAATAAAGGCAAAAATTGATTGTGTGTAAAATCAAAATAGTGACTACTTCAAGATGCTTGGGGCTGAAAGTGGGAGAACATTACATACTGGGACTAAAACAGTGCAATGAGGCTTCTGTAACACTAAGAATAGTCTATTTCTCAATGCTCCTGTGGTTACACATAAATTTATGTGCCGTGCATTTTTTTCTGCATATAATTTTACCAAAAAAAATAATAACTGGAGAAAACTATAAGAAAAAAGTCAGAGTACAAGTGTTGTAAAAAATAAGAGCTTAGAGATAAATATTTAAAATATTAACTATGGTGATAACTTTTAGAATATATACATGTATACTTAATTTTCCATAGAGAACAGAAAGCCCTTTAATAATCAGAAAACATTATCAACAATTGAAAGGCACATTTTCAGACTTAAAACTTCACTACTTCAGAATAAGTAGGGTAAGTAAGAATCAATCAGAATACTGAAAATTCCTAAACACAAAATACTTACTGTGTTGCTTGAAACTCATAAGGTAGCTCAGCCTAACCTAATCTGATGCAGGATCTAAATTATGCATGGGTTATTTAATTTGTTCTTTTAAAATAACAATATGTAACTTAGCATACATTAGATGCCATTTTTTGGTCTGCTATGCCATGGCATTTCATGGCTCTACTTTAATACAACCATGCGTGAAGTTGATAAAATTCCTAGTGAAGAATTATGAAAGCTTAACTGAATGGTAGAACTTTTTTTTAACTACAAAAACCTGATCTTTACTGTATTTGTAGTGGGCTGCAATAAGACCAGATTATAGTCACTAAATATGATAAGGAAGCATTTAAGCATTTTTAGGAAAAGTATTCTACTTAGTTTACTAATATAGATCCAGTACTTGGTACAGTATTACTCAAAAACAAGTGAACACAATGAGAAAATATGGAATTAGACTGAAATAAATATACATCACTGGGCATGGAATCAGAATTGAAAATTTAAGGTGGGAACTAAAAACTAGCTGGATTTTACATTTATGAATCATTTGGCACCACGCTGTTGAAATATACACATCCTATTTTATTTCCTTTGCTCTATTATTTTATTCTTAAAAATCTTTTTGGGTGTTCTTAAACTATTTAAAAGATAAGCTTTGTTTGCCATCTGTTTTGGAAATTCTTCAAAATGAGTTTTGTTTGCTGTTCTTTCTCCATAATCATATGCTCTATTTCCAATAGCAGAAATTCAATAGCAGGATTCTCTCAAAGAGGTCTCAATTGCAATGGGATCTTTTAATCCAATATTTTATTCATAAGTAACAAGTGAATTTGATTATTACCACTTGCTAAATTTACAGTCCAAAAAAAAAGTTAAATGAAAGCTTTGTGAAAAATAAAATTTGCTTAGAAGTATAATACTGTCAAAGTTTTTACATAACAATATAAAGAAAAACAACAGTAGTGCAAAAATAAAGTACACATTACAAAATTATCTTATGATTTATGATTCTCTAACTGCTTTCACATACATCATTTCATTTGTTTCTCACAATAGTTGTGCAGATTACTTCACAGGTGAAGAAATAAAGGTTTACACATATTAACATCCCTTTTGCCTAAAAGTTCAAAAGTAGAGGTCTGGATTGCACCTATGCTTTCATTTCCTGAAATGTGTTACTCATTTCACATGAAATATTACTCATATCACATGAAAATATTCATTATTCACATGATTTTCAAACATGAATTTTTAATACCGATTTCTCACTCATCTAACCCCTCTAGTTTCCTCTCAATCTACTATACCAATTTTTAACCCTTTCTTTTCCCCTAATACCTCTTTTAATCTGTATGTTTTTTAAGTCTTTACTAACCCAAGTCTACTTCAAATTTTGTTCTCACATAGCCATTCAAATTTCTTACTAAATCCTTGAACATTAATATGTAAATTTTAGCAGGTGAGAAAACTGTAGTTAAATGTTCTGTAAAGAACAAACACAAAACCATGAACTTAAATCACCTCATTATTTATTTGCAGGAATGATTACAATGATTACCTGTGTCCGAGAAGTTGATTTTCCTTTGGTATCAGTAGAAAATTTGCCTTTATTACTAATACGTGCTGCCTGTTCTTTACAGAAATTTATATGTCTATCAGCTGCATTTTCATTAAATCTTCTCTGGCAATATGGACACTGAATATAGTCTAAAACAGAAAAAAGAAACAGATTAGTAATAAAATACTTGAAATGAGACATAAAGAATTATAAGTTTTATAAACAGTAACTTAAGACATAAAAACAATGTTTGCGAAGCAAAAACTCGTTTCTTTATAACCACCCAATCTGACTTACAGGAACTTAGTAAAGACATTTGAGAAAAAAAGTCTGCTAGCATATGCTAAATCACAATTTTCTTCCAGCTTAGAATCAAATTTGAGGGCTGAAAAACAATAAATCCTCACTATAAAAAAATAAGGAAAAATGTTAATTCATTTTTGCCTCTATAATACCATATCTTTTCATCAAACATATATTTTTTATATGGTAGACTAGGTTAATTATTAATAACACATTACATTAAACGTATACTTTAAAAACTGGGCTCATCTGTTAAAATCTTTAATTTTGGTTAGATAAAAGCTGTCAAGAAATAGTGTAAAAGACTTTATAGAGTTTTATTTTCTTTAGAGGTCCCAACAGATGGAAGAAGTGATAAAAATATATCTCATTAACATAATTAATTCAAGTTTAAGAAACTGCAGATGCCTCAAAGATTAAATATGCTTCCCAAATGTGAAAGTGAAAGCGAAGTCGCTCAGTCATGTCTGATTCTTTGCGACCGCATAGACTGTAGCCCACCAGGCTCCTCCATCCATGGAATTTTCCAGGCAAGAATACTGGAGTGGGTTGCCATTTCGTTCTCCAGGGGATATTCCCAACCCAGGGATCAAACCCTGGTCTCCCGCATTGCCGGCAAACGCTTTACCCTCTGAGCCACCAGGGATTCCCAAATGTAATGCATACTATAAACAAAATTTTTTATAAAATTAAATCTTAAAGTTATCCCAGAAAAAATCAAATTTTGTAGCAGTGTAAAAGATTTCAAATCTATGAGATATCAAGGAGAAATAAATATAACAACTTAGCAAGGTCACAAAAAAATCAATTTATTTCAACAGGTTTACTTTTTGAGATGGAGTTTGCTTTTTAGAATTTACACTCATCTCAAGATCAGAAATGTGTCCTGCTAACTAGTGAAATACATCTAAAACCTCTTATAACAAAGAAGTTGTTTTGTTAGGGCCAAGAGATAAAAATATTCTCTAAAGTTCAAAATATCCTGAAGAACTGTCACTCTCTCTCTCTCTGACTTATGAAAACATGAGAAATATACCTATGTTGAATCAGATACAATATACAAACACCTCTAAAACAAAGAGAGAATTCAACTTCATGGAGAAAATTAAGGTAGAAATAGAAGAGACTCACACCCAGATGGAACATTCCAGAGATACTCAAAGCATTAAAGTTAATTACTAAGGCTCAGACAAAATTGGCAAACAAGGACCCATGGGCCAAATCCAGCTTGACTGCAACATGTTTTCATAAAATTTTATTGGAACACAGCCATTTACACATTTTCTGTGGCTGACTTCTAGAAACGGTGGCAGAAACGAACAGCTGCAACAGAGACCTTATGGCTTGCGATAACCTAAGAGATTAACTATTGGCCCTTTATACAAATGGTTTATCAACCTCTCTTCTACAATAAAATGTTATAAAGGATCATATCCAACTTTCCCTTTGCTAACAAACTAATCCCAATCTAGAATACTAACACAATTTTAAAGCAGCTAACTTGCTATATTAAAATAACTACTTCTTGAGGCTACTCTGTACCCAATGGCAAAATGTCAATGGTGCTATTTTAAATCTTTCAGTATCTCAATTATCTCATAGCATCTTGCCAGCATCTTGCCTTGCTTTTGGTAAGGATAAACAAGCAACTTTTACCCACCAAATGAAGAAAATATAAAAATACATGAATTTAGGGCAAATTTAGTAATATCTGTTTATATGGTGGTTATCCCACTAGAGTAATACATTTTTAGAAGCAAAATTATTATTTAATTCCCCTTTCTAGATGAGATGATACCAAAGAACTAAGCAACGTAACTATCTGAATCTTACTGAATGACTCCATTTCAATTGACAATATGCATGATTAAAATGTTTTCCTAGAACATTTAATAGTTACTACAATAATTTTTAAATTATATTAAATACTAAATGGCCACCCACTCCAGTATTCTTGCCTGAAGAATCCCATGGACAGAGGAGCCTAGCGGGCTCCAGTTCTTGTGGCTGGAAAGAGTTGGACACGACTAAGCAACTACCACTACACTACTACAATAATTCTTAAATTATATTAAATGCCTTACAAAAGTACTGAGAGACAAAGTTTAAATAAAAGTACTGACATAAAAATATGATGCATTTCTATGTTCAATACTGCCGTGTCTTTATAAGCCTAAATGCCCGGACTGTCACCATTATTTTACAGGAAACTTACCAAGATTATGCTTCATCAAGTTCAATTATTATAAATTAAGTTTAGTAATATCTTAAAATTTATAAGAACTCTATCAATACGATCAGTATTTTGTCCCCATATGAACACTTTCAGCCAAAATATGCCATATACCAGGATCATAGGACGGTGGAGGAGGTGGGGGAAGTTTGCCACCCTCTTTCAGCACTTGACCAAGGCCTTTAGCCGCTCTTATTGTGGCAATGAACTCTTCATGCTTTCTTCTCCAGTTAGATGGCTTCTTTGGTGGTTCAGGCTGTAAACAAATTAAAAAAACAAAACAAAACAGAAAAAAACTAGTTTTCAAAAACAGTTTTTAATATATTAAAACAAAACTCAAGGCAATATTTTAAGTGTTCTCTTATCAGGATCCTTAAATGATCTTCTTGCCAAAGTTATAATTTTAAAAAGAAACTTTAGTCAACTGTATTTATATGCAATTTTTAAATACAACTGTAAATTGTGTCAGACACTGCTAAACTGCCTGTCAGTGTTACAAACATTTAACCCACCACTAAGGGTGTATTTCCCTATTCTCCCATAGTTTCTCCAACATTGTATGATACTGAAATTTTGTTGTTGTTTTTTTTAACTGATAAGAGAGGTGAAAAACAGCTCTTTCTGTGGTTTTTAACTGGCTTTTTTTCCCTGTAATGAGTGAAAACGAACATCTTTTTGTATCATTAAGAATCATTTGTATTGCCTTTTCTGTGGTGTGTTTATAAAGCCTGGTCAACATATCTATTGGGTTATTGGCTTTTTTTCTGTTTTTAACAACTTCAAGTATTTTTTTTTAATAGACTAGCCTCGCCCATCCCCCACCATGTATCTCTTTTAACCTTGTCTAAGTGTCCTCTGATACGCAGAAGTATTTTTTAAATGCAGGTGAACTTACTTTTTCTTTCATTGTCTCCATATTTGTAGTCCCTTAGCAAGGTCCAGCCTCACACCAAGGTAAAATAAAAATTTCCCAAGTTTCTACCTAGTCCTTTCATGGATTCATTTTTAAGATTTTTAATCTTTTATTCATTTGGAATTTATCCTCATGTATGGAGTGACATATGGACTCAACTTTATTTTTTGTTTTCTAACATAGCTATGCAGCTGCCTCACCACCCTTTATTGACTTTTCTGCCTACTGAACCGAGACAACACCTTTATCATATTCTCTTTGGCATTTGGGCCTATTTCTGAACTCTGTGTTCCACTGTTTCGACTACATGTGTCAATACTCATGCTTTAAATATTGAGATTTTATAATATTTTAATATTCAGTAAAGAGACTTCCTTGGTGGCTCAGTGGTAAAGAACCCGCTTGCCAATGCAGGAGACACAGGAGACGCAGTTCAATCCCTGGATCGGGAAGATCCTCTGGAGAAGGAACAGCAACCCACTCCAGTATTCTTGCCTGGGAAATCCCATGGACAGTGACGCCTGGCAGGCTACAGTCCATGACACTTGGAAGAGTTGCAAGAGTTGGACACAACTGAGCAACTAAACAACAAAGGTTAACTCTACTTTATTCTGCTTCTCTTTCAATATTTTCTGATTATTCTTATATGTATATTTTTCCATTTGAAATTTAGAGTCAGCATGTTTTTTAAAACTACATTTAAACTGGAAAAATTGAACATTCCATTCATACACAATTTAACTTAAAATCTCTATTTAGCTGAGATTTACTTATCTAAGAATGTGACATATTTCCATTAGAAAACATGTTTGTTTGGATCTTTCAGTAGTTTTTAAAAATACTCTTTGTGAAAGTTTTCCACCTTTGTTACTATAAGGTTATTCCTAAACTGGAGAAGGAAATGGCAATCCACTCCAGTATTCTTGCCTGGAGGATTCTGTGGACAGAGGAGCCTGGCGAGCCCCAGTCCTTGGGGTCACAAAGAGTCAGACACAGCTGAGTGACTAAATTCCTAAATATATTTTGTGCTGTTCTTTTGTAAGAATCTTTTAATCATTTTTATATTTCAATGAGTTGTTTGTTGAAATATGAAACCTTTCTGCATATTAACATTACATCCCATTACAACAATGATAGCCTTTTGTTTCTTTTTAATGAATCTATTATTAGAAGAACCACAAAGGAAACTCCTGGCTGAGATGGCTGCCTTTACTGTTAAATACATGAGGACATTTAAGGAAGAAAAAGCACCAATCTTTTTAAAATTCTTTCAAAAAATAGCAAACAAGAAAACAACTTTCCAACTAGTCATTACAAAAGCAACAAAATTGATTACACAGACATTCCTCTTCTGCTTCTCTAAAACAACACATGTCCAGGAGGCCTGCTGCTGCCATCTATACTTCCCTCAATTCTTACACTAACCACTTCAAAAACAGGACACTTTAAAGTGGCCCCCTCACCTTCAGAAAGGGTATTATCTTTTCCATTAGTGCTTTCTGAGAGCCTCTGCTCTGGACCTCTTCAAATCTCGGTGCCTCTTCCCACTTCCTCCCTCCTGGCTTTTGTCCAGTTCAGCTCATTCCAAGTTCCTGCAGCTCACCCCAGTTCCTGCCTCTGCTGTGATAAACAAGGGATATGTACCTTCAGATAAGAACCCTCATCTTTAAGGAGTCGCCTTTAAGGGTGAGGAGACCCCTCAACTGCAAGGTGGCAGGTTCTCAGATTCTAGGCCACGGGGGCCCCAGCAACTTCCTGCTCTTCTACTGTGGTAGCTTCTCCTGGATCTGTTTCTTTGGGCAGCTCTGACATATCCTTGTGGCTCAGACAGTCAAGAAACTGCCTACAATGTGGGAGACCCGGGTTTGATCCCTGGGCTGCAAAGATCCCCTGGAGAAAGAATGGCTACAGACATGACAAAGCGACTTTGAGAGGAGAAAGAGACATATTTTGTTTGTAGTCCCTGGAGTACGCCTGAATTTCTCCAAAAATGGGGGTTTGTATTTGCTTTGCTCCACTCTGCTTGTGATTTTTGTATTGAGAACCTCACCATGACATTTGTGTGTGCTCAGCTGCATCTGACTCCTGACCTCATGGACTGTTGCATGCCAAGCTGCTGTGTTCATGGGATTCTCCAGGCAAAAATACCGGAGTGGGTTGCCACTTAGTCCTCCAGGAGATCTTCCCAACTGGGATCAAACCTACATCTCCTGCATCTATTGCACTGACAGGAGAATTTTTTATCACTGTGCCTGGGAAGCCCATACTACAATGTTTAAAATCTTCTAATATACTGTTTCTCCAATTAATATGCATATGACTCATTCAAATATTTTGTTAACATGCAGATTCGAATTTAGTATGTCTGGGAGGAACCTGAGACTCTGCATTTTTAACAAGTTTCCAAAACAGTGCTGCTATTACTGCTCTATGGACCACACTTTAAGGAGCAAGAAAATAAAACTACTTATCGTAAAATAAGTTTTTACTTGGCTTTTTCTTAAAGATTAAGTTTTTTAAAGTATACAAACCTCCTCTTTAAAGAAATAACTTTGATGTCCATCTATAGATGAATGGATAAAGAAGCTGTGGTATATACATACAATGAAATACTACTCAGCCCCCCAAAAAAGAATGAATGTGAGTCAGCTGAATTGAGGTGGATGAACCTAAAGTCTGTTTTACATGGAGTCAAGTCAGAAAGAGAAGAACAAACATCCCATATTAACACACACATGGAATCTAGAAAAATGGTATTGATGAACCAATTTGCAGGGCAGGAATAGATAACAGACTTGTGGACACAGTAGGGGAAAGAGAGGATGGGAGAACTGATAGAGCAGCACTGACGTATATACACTACCATGTTAAAACAGATAGCTAGTGGGAAGCTGCTTCATAACACAGGGAGCCCAGCCCTGTGGGGAGGGAAGGCTCCAGAGTGAGGGGATTTATACACACACACACACACACACACACACACACACACTACGGCTGATTTGTGTTGTTGTATGGCAGAAACCAACACAACACTGTAAAGCAACTGCCTTCCAATTAAAAAAAAAAATTACTGAGAGATCACCATGGATAAATTTAATGTAATTCCCCTAATAATTTCACAAGATAGATAACTCCTATCACCATTTTACAGAAAACAGATGTACAGACTAAGTAACTCGCCCGTTACAACAGAGTAGCAGAGCCAGGGGTAAATCCAGGCAGTCTGACTGCTGAGCCAGCTTTCAAACTTTATACTGCCTCCAAAGACTTGACTAGTTTACGCAGACTAATTAAAGTTAACATAATCACATATCTGACAGGTTACCAGGGAAAACTAAATAATGTATGCACCTTGTCCAAGCTTCTCCATCCTCCCCTTAAATATTCATAGACTGAAAAACAAAGATGAACTGACTTCTTTTTTATTATCAAAGGACTTTACTAGTATGATTAACTGTCCCATAGAGAAATGTTTTCCTGTACCACTGGGAAAAGCTATTACTACTGAAAACAGTTTGTTTCAAAAACATATAAATCAGGCACTCAAATTTTGACTACTGCACTAAAATGACTCTTTAAAAACATGTCTAAGTATTTATGTGATTTATTCTTAGCAAATAAAATATCATGACAGGTGGTATTAAGGAGAGATTAGCTAGCATAGGAGATTCCTTGCTTTGTTACAAAGAAGAAAGTAAGCTGACAGTGGTCAATTTGTGAACAATTGAGCAATGGATAAAACTTCTCCCCGGAAGGCATACTAAGATCACAAATGCTAAAAAATCAATCAAGATAATACTTATTAGGCTAAAGCATTTGTAACTAATAGCTTTCCTTTTATATACTACATGGATTACACTACTAGTAACAGAGACATAAACTGATAGTCAAGTAATGAACAATGAGTTACAAAGAACATGCAAAGACTTTTCAGTTATTTCCAGCCTAATAGCTCAGGAACTGACTCTCCAATGCTACAAAACCTCACTGTAGTTGGAGAGTACTTTGGTCCCCCTTTTGTTGAAATTCAAAATAAATAAGTCTATGATAACTTCTAAACTGAGAACATGACATAGAATTCTGCTTACTCTTCAATATTAGTATAACAGATAATTATTTTTTTTCACTACACATAGCAGCAAGGTTTATACTATTCAAAAGGTCATAGAATTACCCTAGGTTTAAGAGGTTTTACTGTTGGAATATCAGTTCCTTCAGCTCTTTGTCTGCTTGAATCAAAAGTCTTCCGTTTTTTAGTGGCAGTTTTCTGGCAAATAGGTCCATGTTTTTTCTGTTCAAATAAAGAAATACAACATATCATTTTCTTTTCTACAAGAAGACTATAAGATTTTAATTGTCACTAGAGACCAGTTTAAAACCTGAAGATAAATAATCAGTTCAGTTCAGTCGCTCAGTTGTGCCCGACTCTTTGTGACCCCATGAATTGCAGCACGCCAGGCCTCCCTGTCCATCACCAACTCCCAGAGTCCACCCAAACTCATGTCCATTGAGTCAGTGATGCCATCCAGCCATCTCATCCTCTGTCATCCCCTTCTCCTCCTGCCCCCAATCCCTCCCAGCATCAGGGTCTTTTCCAGTGAGTCAACTCTTCAATAATAATAAGGCATAAATAAGACATTGCTTGCTTTAACTAAATAGCTAAACATATATATATAAACATGCTATAAGTTATCTTTCTCACAACAAGAAAATATAAATATTCTCCCAAAATTTTATTGCAAGTTATTTAACATTCTCCTGGTTTACACACTGCTAAGAATAAGGAAGCTATTTAAGTGGGGGCAAAAAAGTTATATCTTTATTACTAAATACCTGAAAATAGATACTAGAAAAAGGAATGTAAATGGAAAATGTTTTAGCCTTAGGATTACAAAAGCTAACATAACAACAACAGTTTGGATTCCTCTACTCAGCTCATGTAATAGCAGTTTGTTAACACAGCCCAAGACCAGGTGGTCATGTTTCTGCCTTTTCTCCACAACCATCTTCTCCCCGTTTCTGGAAATGAAATTTTCTACCTTATTTTTATCATGGATTTTTCTTGTGCTATCTAGTGTTTCATTCCTACAGTTCTTTTGTATGTGCAATTTTTCAAAAATATGGTTTCCAACTCATTTACAGCCATTACAATGGAAGCTGATCTCAAATTAACTGGATAAATAATAATCCTTCCCCTTAATAAAACATGTTGACTAACAACACAGAGTATACTCAACGCACTGTTTTCTTTTCTATTTTGATAAACAATGAACAAGTTGGAAATATTAAGCTTTATCTAGGAGAACAAGAAACAGAACTATCTGATTCCATGTTATAGAGCCGCTAATATTTTCAATATAAAATCAATATTCAATTGTTTTACATACTTGTAAAACATATTTGTTTTCAGATTTCATTCTGACAAATGCAATAATTATAACTATTAAATAAAATTTCTTAAATATTAAAAAAAAAGCATGGTTAACAGGCAACTTTCTAGAAATGGCTGTCCTCATACTGAGTAGTATATATCAAAAGAATGTAGCACCTACTCCAAAAACTGATATACTATACAAACTGACAGTGATTAAATATTAAACAAATGAGCACCAAAAAAGATATCCCCGTGAAAACTCAGCTTAAAAAGCTTTGAAAATGGTTGAAAAATAGTGACTCAATGACAACAAATGTTACTTAAGTTACAACAAAAGTTACTTAAGTAAGTATGAGCAAGAAAGGATTAAAAAGCTGTTAATATTTAAGAGAAGGCTGTAGTCAGGTGGCCATTTTGGATCATTAATTCCTTCTCACTGCTTTAAAGAAAACCTGGAAACAGTAAGGATGTAAAATAAAATGTGACAGAACTCTAGACAGCAGATCCATACGCAAAGAAAAATCTTTATTCTAAATGAAAATATTCATAAATACCTATTTATATTTGAACTTAAAACAGAATATATAAGATATATTGTTTTTTACTTATTCTCTATTTAGCTAGATATTTTATTTTAATGTAAGGTGTGCTTCTATTTGTATTTGCATACAAATGTATTTGCATTCTAAAGAATGCATAATATATTTTAGGAACAGTTTTAATTAAAATACTTTTTCTTTGGAATATTTCAAACATACATAAGAACTGATAAAATGGTATAATTAGCTCCATTTACTGATCCCCTGCCTCAATAATTACCAACATTTTAACAATCTTATTTCATCTATCTCAAGCCCCAAATTTTTTTCCTGAGGTTTAAAGCAAATCCAAAACATCATATCCTTCTGCTTCTTTAAATATGTTATTTTTAAGAGTATTACTAAGAGTTTTTGTTTTGGTTTCATTAACAGTCCCACAAGGGAAGGAATACTTTAATACCCTAACAGAGGAGTTTTGAAGACCAATCAATCTCTGAAGCAAAGAGAATACTCTGCAAGAATGAATAGACAGAACTGGTACTCTTGAGCAAAGAACATTAGTCAGTATCTCTTTATATATCTTGCCACTGTTCTGAAGTATTAAACCACTAAAGCTCTATCAAACACCAAAGGAAAAAGGTACTCACCAATGCCACTGGAAAGAATGTTCTTCCACAAATCTTGCAAGGTAACAATTCTCCAACTTGGACACTTCCATTTTCTAGGACAGAAAAGAATGTAGTCAAAATATTCAGTGGCTCTTGTTGTGAAATGTCTACATTTTAGTCTTTACTTAATTTCATATATAAGTGGTCTGTTGCTGCTGCTGCTAAGTCACTTCCGACTTAGCACTCGTGTCCAACTCTGTGCGACCCCATGGACGGCAGCCCACCAGGCTCCTCTGTCCCTGGGATTCTCCAGGCAAGAATACTGGAGTGGGTTGCCATTTCCTTCTCCTCCAACGCATGCATGCATGCTAAGTCACTTCAGTCGTATCCGACTCTGTGCGACCCTATGGACAGCAGCCCTCCAGGCTCCTCTGTCCACAGGATTCTCTAGGCAAGAATACTGGAGTGGGTTGCCATTTCCTTCTCCAATATAAGCGGTCAGTTCTTGTGAAAATCTCTTGTATTACTTTGAGATAAGCAACTTTACCAATTAAAATGCACAAGACTTAAAGTTATCGGTGGTCAAAAGGCGAATACCAAACACACAATTTATAATTTAAAAAGAAACAAACTAATACTGCTGAAACTGGTTTTGTTCTATTTTAACCAAATCAATTTGTCATACTCTTAATTAAATACAGGCTGTCTCTATTGTAAATTACTAAAGTTTAAAAACAAAATTTATCTGAAGATTAATATATATTACTTATCATCAAAGCATTAAAAAATAACATTGGTGGCTAAGTGGGCTAGAGAAGATGAGTAGGAAAATCCTGAGTTTACCTCCTTCCATGAGCACAACAAAATTACAACTATTTATGGAGCAGGTATCATGAAAACCTGAAGACTAGTAGCAACAATTTTCCACAACTAAAGATAAAAGAAGGAACTATAATGAGACAGGCAGGAGAGGTGGGGACATGGTGTAGTCCAGACCCACAGCCTCAGGTAGGCTACCCACCACACAAGAATAATCACAACTGCAGAGGTTCCCCCCAAGGAGCAAGGAGTCCAAGCCCCACACTGGACTCCTCAATCCAGAGAGTCCTGCAACGGGAAGATGAAACCCAAGAATCTTTAGCTTTGAAGGCTGGGGGCTAACTTTCAAGGGACAGAGAAGGCTGCAGGAAACAGAGACTCCATTGTTAAAGAACTCACACAAAATTTGCATTCTCCAAAACACAGGGCAGAAGCAGTCATTTTAAACTGTCTTGGACAGGCACACATGCTCATCTTGGAGAGCCTCCCAGGGAGAAGCAGGCAACTGGGACTCAGTGGCAACCACATCTTAGAGCTCCCTCTACCACGAGGAATGCTAATGCCAGCAAAAAACGTTATGGAGTCCTACCTCCAGCTTATTAGTGCCAGGACTCAGCCCTGCCCACCTGTTACAGTCTGTTACAGTCCCAGGGACCCACTGGCTAGCATCTAACTGCAGGGACACAGCTTCACCCAACAGCAGGCTGACAGAGACCACCGGGTGCCTTGATTCCCCCTGCCTACCACGGACCCAGCCCTATCACCACAGAACCCAAGACCCAGCTCCACCCACCAGAGGGCTGGCACTAACTCCAGGACCTGGCCTGACCCACCAGCCAGGTGGACAGCCAGGCAGCAGCCGCTGGGCTCCCTTGGCCCCAAAGCTGCAGACCTGTGGGCTGACACCGTCTGGGAAACCGCTTCAGCCAGCCACATCAGATCCAGCCAGCTCTGCCCACCAGGGGACCAGCACGAGCCGTGGAAGCCCAGGGTACAGCCACCGCATGCCCTGGGCCTACCGCCAGCGCAGTCAGCATCCACAAAGGCCGAGCCTAGCATCAACTGGACCAGGGACCATCAGTGCCAACTAGACCGCTCACAGCAATCAGCCCACCATATCAGACGGGCCTATGAGGCCACATGGGGGCTCTCCTGAAACATAAGGCTCTGGTGACCAGAGTAGTGAGCTGCTGGGAGGCACAGAACTTTTCCTACAAAATTCCACTCCAACAAGATCAAGCAATGTAACCAACCTACCAAATAAATAGAAATAAAAACAGCAAGTTAGGCAAAATGAGGAGACAGAGGTGTATGTTTCAAATAAAGGAGGAAGATAAAAGACAGCGAAGCACTAAGGGAAGTGGAGCTAAGGAACTTACCCAGTAAAGAGTTTAACATAACAATCACAAAAATGCTCAAAGAACTTGGAAGAAGAAGGGCAAAACACAGTGAGAAGTTTCAGAAAGAGAAAACACAAAGAATGAAACAGAGCTGAAGACTGCAATTAAGTGAAATAAAAAACATACTGGAAGGAATCCACAGTAGATTAAGACGATATAGAGGACTGGAACAGCAAGATGAGAGAGTAGTAGTAGTAGTAGTTCACTCAAGCTGAACAGGAAGAATTTTAAAAATCAGGCCAGTCCGAGAGACCTTTGAGACAACATCAGGCATACTAACATTTGCACTATGGGAGTTCAAAAAGAAGAAGTGAGGTGCAGAGAACATATTAGAAGACAAAATGGATGAAAACTTTCCTAACCTGGGAAGGGAAACAGTCATCCAGGTTCAGGAGGCACAGAGAGTAGCCCCAAACAGAATCTACCCAAATGGACCACACCAAAAAACAGTGTAATTATAATGGCTAAAATTAAAGACAGAGTGTTAACAGCAGCAAGGGAAAAGTAAATAGTTACATACATGGGAACTTACATAAGATCATAAATTGACTTTTCAGTAGAAATCCTGCACAACAGAAGGGAATGTCATGATACATTTAAAATGATGAAAGGAAAAAAAAAATCTACAACCAATATTCTACTCAGCAAAGCTATCATTCAGGCTTGAAGAAAGATAAAAAGTTTTCCAGACAAGCAAAGTTAAAAGGTTCAGTACCATGAAACTAGCTCTACAAGAAATGCAAATGGACTTCTCTAACCAAAAAGCCTCACCTAGAAATATGAAAGTTAGGGAAGGAAAAATCTCACTGGTAAAAGCAAATACACTGTAAAGGTGGCAGACCAACCACTAATAAAGCCAGTAGAAAGATTAAAAGACCGAATTAGTAATATCTTCCATAGATAGAGTAAGTAGTTAAGAAATACAAAAATCAAATGATCTAGAATATGATGTCAAAAACATTTAACATAGAAGAGGAATAAAAATGCAGGATTGTTAAAATACACTCAAAACTAAAGAGGACATCACATCAGCTTAAAATAACCACAGACAGATTGCTATTGAAACCACAAACTAAAAAATCTATAAGAGACACAAACACAAAACACTGAAAGGAATCTACTGCTACTGCTGCTTCTGCTGCTGCCTTGCTTCAGTCCTGTTTGACCCTGTATCTAAACATAATACTAGAGATAAGTTATCAAATCACAAGGAAAGAGAGCCAAACAAGAAAACAAGAACAACAACAAAAACAAAACTACAAAATAAACCTGAAAACAATTTCAAAAATGTCAGTGAATACCTACCTATCAACAATTAAATGTATATAGACATAGAGTGCTATAATCAAAAGACACAGGGTAGCTCAATGGAAACAAAAACAAGACCTTATATATGCTGCTCAAGAGACTCAATCAAGATCTAAAGGAAAAGAGACTGAAAGTGAAGGGATGGACAAAGGGATTCCACACAAACAGAAATTTACAAAAAAACCTAAGTAGCAGACTTATATCAGACAAAGCAGACTTTAAACCACTGCCTGTAACAAAAGACAAAGTAGGACTCTACCTAATAAAGGGACCAATCTAAGAAGCTGTAACAATTGTAAGTATATACGCACTCAACAGATACACCTAAATGCATAAAGTAAATATTAACAAACAAATAAAAAGGAAATGGACAATAACACAGTAACAGTAGGGGACTTCAACACCCCACCTACATCAATGAACATATCATTCAGAGAGAAAATTCGTAAGGAAACACTGGCCTTAAACCAAATGGTCTTAACATATATAGAATATTATATCCAAAAGCATTGGAATACACCTCTTTTCAAGTGCACATGGAACATTCTCCAGGACAAACTACATAACGAGTGGTTGTTCTGTGGCAGGCCACAAAACAAGTCTCCATGAATTTATGACTGAAATCATACCAAGAAACTTCATGCTGAGACCAAGAATCAACTACAAGGGAAAAAAACTGTCCAAAAAAACACACAAATATATAGAACTAAACAACTAATGGGTCACTGAAAAAATCCCAAAGTAAAAAATATCTAGAGACAAATGAAAACAAAAAACACAATGATCCAAAATTTATAGTTGCAGCAAAAGCAGTTCTATGAGGGAAGTTTATAGCAATACAAATCTATCTCAGGAAATAGGAAAAATCTCAAATAAACAACCTAATCTTACACCTAAAGCAACTAGAGAAAGAAAAACAAAACTCAAAAATTAGCAGAAAAGAAATCATAAAGAAAATAGGAGAATTAATTAAATAGAGACTAAAAATGATTTTAAAAATCAATTAAAATACAAGCTGGTTCTTTGAAAAGATAAAAAAAAAATTGATAAAACTTCAGCAAGTCTCATCAAGAAAAAAAGAGGGAGCAAATTAAAAAATTAGAAATGGAAGTGGAGAAGTTATACTTAACACCATGGAAATACAAAGGATAAGAGATTACCTGAACAATTAAATGCCAATAAAATGGATATATGGACAAATACAATATCCCAAGACTGAATCAGTGCTCATACTGAAATCTTGTCACCTGTGACAAAATGGATGAGTCTAGGGGGTACTATGCTAAGTAAAATAAGACAAATTCTGTATACTTTCACTTACACACAGAATCTAAAAAACAAAACAAATGAACAAACTTATAAAACAAGCATAGTCATAGACACAAAGAACAAACAGATGGTTTCTGGGAGGGGGGCAGGGAAGGGTGGGAAATAGGTAAGAGAAATTAAAGGATACAAACTTTCAGTTACAAAATAAATGAGTCACAGGTCTGAGAGGTACAGCAAGGGAAATATGGTCAGCAATAATGTAATATCTTGCATGATGACAGACAGTAACTAGACTTATTATGGTGATCATTTTGAAA